AAGGGGGAGAGGATGATACAATTCTAAAAGGTGAAGCGTCAAATTCCAATCCGGGTGTATTTGGTTCCGACTGGATGCGAACAATCGCAACGAATTGGAGGCATTGTTGAACGGTTGTGACTGGATGTGAATGCTCGCAATTCGTCGCAGTCGCAAGGGATCGGTCCGGTTGGTTGCGAATCTTGGAAGGTGTGGCGATGCGAATTTCGGAATGTATTGCGATGCGATTCTCGGAATACTGTCGGATGCGAACAGCCTTGTCAGACATCAAACTCTTATGTATCCGATAACGAACGAAGCACACTTACTATTGGGTACGAAAGCTATTTGTTGGGATTGATAGCACGTGGGGTTTGCATGATAACTTACGTGGGTTAAGGACGAGAGTTTCCATTTACTGGGTGTGCATTTCTCACAATTTTTTTAGCTTCCATAAGCCTCTAGAGGCGGTTTCTTCTAGTAGTCGGTTACTGTTAGTGGGTAGTCTATTTTCTTTGTAACCATTGTTTGTGTCAGACTATATTTTAACTGTCTTTGTAATCAGTTATTTCCAGAATTTCATCCAAGAACTTTTTTTCATCGAGTTGTTGTTGCACTCAAACTTTGTCAATTGAAGGAGGTTTTCTTGATTTTTTGACAGAATTCAAACCAATAGGTCTTGGTTTGTCTTCACCAATATTCAATCTATAGGTCTAGTTTGTCTATTAATTCTTGTTTCCGCTGTAATCACAGAAAACCCAAAGCAATCTTATTTACACGCATCATTATATTGTCACTGTTCTAATTATGTCATAAAATTTTAGAAATTTTAGAATGTTAATCATATAAATATTATATATTTTTATTAAAACAAAAAAAATATCAGTGTTTAATCCTTTAGAAACAGAGGTATGCAGTTTATTTTTCAAACATATTTAGGTTGTTATGTTTGATATGTCAAAAAATAGTTTATAAATTAGTTTTTTAAAAGCTACCAAAAATAGTTTTTCAACTAGCTTATAGAACTTTTTTTTTAAATTCTCCCAAAAATATATTTTTTAATTATAATAAACATATGTCCTTATATATCATTTTATATTTTCCAACTAGGTTATCAACTAGTTTTTATAAAATCGTGATCTTAAGATCATATATGATCGGGAGATCCTACAGTAGCCTCCAAATTTGCTCCCAATATCATTTTTTGTGTAGTACTCATTATAAATTGAAGTTGACGACAACATCAATTGTGGAATCAACTTTAACTTTGTATACATAAACAATTAATTCTTGTGTTTTATAGACTCACAAAATTAGGAAGAAAACATCTTAAGCAGAAAAAGAAATAAGATCACGGTGCTTATGCATATCTCTTGGCTAAGATCTCAAAGGGAATAACATGAGTCTCACGATGATCTACCTAGTTCAAGATGAATGAATGAAATAGTGATGACTTCTTGCGACATGTGATGCTCGATTTCAAGTTGAATGGATGTTTTTGAGACCCGACTATATAATAAGTAATAAAGAGGTGAGATTGAATCGTGTTAAGATCCTAGTCGGGATCCTAAAATCTAAATATAGATCTTGTTGCAGATAGATCTTAACGTGACTAAGATTTGTTTTTGCTTGCATGAACTTGAAATCGTAAGATTCTAAAATCAAGTTCGAAGTTAAAATTACCTTTGTATTTATAGATGAATAATTTAAAAAAAAAAATTGTTTATCTATTTTAGTTTAATAAAATTTAGTAATAGTCCGACTCAAATAAATATTTTTCAAAGTAAAAAGTTTTAAGATTAGATAGTGACATGAGTGTAGAAATAGACAATTTAGAGTGGGGATTGCATGGCTTTCCTCCACCAACAAAATCCATGTGACCCCTTATCTCTAGCCATATATTTTTCACTTTGTTTCCCTTTTACTAGATTTTTGCTCTTTTTTACTTACATCTTAACATAGTTAAATATTTTGCATCTAATAATAATACTTACGTTTAATAATTTTTAGAATGGTTGATTGGAATAGAGTAACATGGTTATATATTTTGCATCTAATAACAAATTAACAATATACATACGCTTAATAATTTTTAGAAGGGTTGATTGGAATACAGTAAAAAACATAAGGTCACGATATATCATGTATCAACGAAAATGATGAGAGGTTAGAATCTATTATTTTTACACATGTTTTTAATATATTTTTTTAAGATAAAAGAAATGGTATATTGGTGTATATGGCAAACGCGGTGTTTTTTGTAATCACTGGATCTTGAATTTTTTGTAGTATCATATAGATCATTTTTTGAATTTGATATTTCACCTCTAGTGTGCCGGTTTCATTGTTTCAAGGAAATTTAAATTACGGTGATAATCCTACAAAAAACGTCTTCAAATCCAGACACAAAAAAAGTCATGAAAAATGAATGATTATATAAAGAATTTGAATTCGTAGATATGACCAATGTATAGTTAATGAGTATAAATATTCGTCACGTCCAGAATTTGTACAAGTATGATAGTTTATAGGAAGTTATCATCAATTCACATTGTTAAAATCAAACAGCCTCAATAGAACGTGAGTTCTCTTCTACCATGTTAAAACACTTCAGAATTCATATTTTTCATAGCACTTCCTCTTAATAAGATCCAATTTCTTGTTGGGGAACTGTCTTGCACCCATCAAAGGTAGCCCCTTCAACCCCGCTAGGGTGGTGCACCTAGGACTCCGCAAGGGGGCGCAACCCTTCACCCTCGCCATTTTGGTTGTACCAAGAACAAACTTGTCTTAAACAAGTATGTTGTATGCACTTTGTACCTTCCAAGTTGTATAAAATCAAAGCTTAAACTCCATTGATAATCTTCTAAATTTCATTATACTAAAATGATTATGTTTAAAATGTCAGATCATTCATTAAACAATTTGAAATGATATTTATCCGAAAAAATGAGAAAAAGAAAATTTGAAAATTTTACACAATTAATCGATCTGGATGTCATAATATAAAGATGAAATAATTTAAATGAATATGTCATTAATTACATATAAATTGTTAAAAATGAAAGAAACAATAATGGATTTACCTTATTTTTGACATCGATAGGGGTCGAGGAGCGTTGGGTAGGTTGGACCCATGGGCGGATCTATAGCACGACAAGGGTATGCAATTGCATACCCTCAATTTTCTTCTATAAAAGTCATTTATTCCAAATAAAAAGTTATTGTGTATTAAATATTATTGTTGGCATACCTTTGGTCCAAACTTTGCATGCCCTCTAATCCACATATTACCGACAACAACTCGTGTAAGCAAGCAAAAGGAGAATTATTATTAAAGAAAAGGAAACAAATCTTTGGTTTAAAACTTTCACTAAATAAATAAGGATGATTTTTGAAACTTTAAAAAAATCTATCATTACCCATAACTTAACAAATAATAATCCAAATCTCAAACAATCAAAAATCCTAACAATCCTTGTTACTTATCAACTTTATCAGAAAAAATGTTGCTATGTCGGGAATACTAAGTTATTTATAATTTTTAAAATACAAAACCTTGATGCTATCATTTTTAGGGTTGTTAACTTTGGTTAGAATATAAGTTATTTATAAATTTTTTAACACAAAACCTTGATGTGTTCATTTTTAAAGTTGTTAATTTCATTAGAGAAATAAATAATCATATATAAAAATACAAGTTGTCATATTCTATTGATTTTAATAACTTTAAATTATTATGTAATATTATTATTATGAAATCCTTGAATTATTTTTTGGATCCTCCACTCTATCGAGTGTAAACACTGCATACCCTATAAGAAATTTCTAGATCCGCCACTGGTTGGACCAGTGGAGGTATAAGGGTAGTTTGTAGGAGTGGAGGTGTGGGATGGGTTGTAGCTTGAGTAGATAAATGGATAGAAACTTGACATTCAAAAGAAAATTAGTAGAATTAATACTTTCTTATAAATTATTTATGGAAAGCAAGAAGTAAAATATGTAAACCAAAATTAAAAACTATTTTAAGAATATTACTATTATGATATTATCGATGTATACATAATTAAAAATAATTTATGATTGTAATAAAATATTTTTATTCCATTAAAATATGAATAAAAAAATACTCATCTACAGAATGATAATATAACTTCTTTTTTCTTCTGTAATATATAGTTTTTAATTAATAATTCACCCATATTCTTGGTTAGCACTCCTAATATTTGTCAACACCAACTTTCATTTGTTAATTTCTTTCAATATTACCACTTCATATATTTTTCTCGATGATACACTCAAATTGTTTTACTTTATGGTAGCATGTATAAACAAAATCGAGAAATCTGAAGAAGAAAAACAGGTTGTCAAGATTCTGATGGGTTTTTGTTCTTCGTTGTCTTCATCCCTTCGTTTTTTCGTTCTTTTCTCCATGCAGGAATTGCAATCATCATCATCATTTCCCTTTTTGTTCTTGTCCCTTCTCCCCTATCATGAGATTTCTCTGTTTTCCCCTTTTGTCTTCTCATAATTCCCATGATCCTTCACATCTTTTTGTCGATCCTATAATGTCTCATCAAAATTTAATTGAATTCCTATCATTTCTATCCATATCGGATCGAGGAATTTTATTTTTTTTAGTCATATAAACAATCTCTGCATGTGTTTGTTTATATGATTGTCAAAAATACGATTAGATTGATCTAACTTCTTCAATCAGATTCACCCCAGTTCAAGTTCGCTCAAAATTTCAAGGCTCTAGTTGTTATCAGGTGAGAGATTGTCTATTTGTCTCCTTTGCTTATGCAAACCAATTCTAAATTGTGGTTGTATTTCTATATTATCGAATTCATTTGAGTTCATTTCTTATTTCGAGAGAAGACCTGTTCTTTTCCACTGTTATGAAGTGGAATTGAAATCAATTCAAACGGGAATTTAATCTTTTGGAATCACAAATGGACTTATCGATCTTTAGGTTCCACATAAGTTCATTGGTTTCCAAATGTTTGTTATTGCTTCTAATGGCTTTGATCATCAGAACTCTTCTACTCCCCAACTCCTTTTCACTTGTTTCTAAGAACTATGAATTCGGGTTGTTGAAATCGGATGCCAGGAATGTAAAATTGAAGTTCTTAGAAGTACCTCAAATTGTTTGGGGGTTTAACAATCAAAAGATTGCTTTTGCAAGAGCTTGTTTAACCGCAAGAACCCTAAATAGATCCCTTCTAATGCCTAGCCTAAGTGCATCTTTATTCTACAAAGAAATCGATCAACTACAACCTATTTCATTCCATAAGATCTTCCAGTTCGAGAAATTTAATTCTCTTTGTAATGGGTTTGTCCAATTAAGTGGATATTCCGATCTAACGAATCAATGTAGCATAATTAATCTTCATAAGGGGAGTGGTAGGAAATGGACACTTGAAAGAGATCTTGATCAATTAAAAGAGTTTAGCAAGCAAGATTATGATGTTTATGAAACAATTCGAATACTCGGAAAAAACCCATTTTTATGGCGGGATCATTGGCCCGTTAGCGATTATGCCAAGGTGTTTGAATGCTTAGTTTTAGTAGACGATATCTCAAAAGAAGCGGATGAAGTTGTGTCAAAGATTAAACAATTTGGAGGTGATAAAAACGGTGTTTCTTTGGATCAAACACCGTATGTAGCAATCCATATGAGGATTGAAAAAGATTGGATGATACATTGTAAAAAACTAGAACAAAGATCAAACGTATCGGACATTTGTAGTAGTAGAGAGGAAATCATGACTCGAGTAGCAAATCTTCGAACCCTAAAGCCATCGGCAATTCTTTACCTTGCTGTGGCGAATGAATTGCTCGAGGACGATCTGATTTTGATTGGTTGGAAAGAAGGTATGCATCCGGATGACAAGAAGCGATTAGGGGTAGTTGGGATTTATGAGAAGTATCCATATTTGATTCAGTCAGCTATAGACTATGAAGTTTGTTCGAGGGCGGATGTGTTTGTGGGCAATAGTTATTCCACATTTTCGAGCCTATTGGTTCTAGAGAGAACTCAAAGGATGATCAAAATGGGTGTTTCAAATGTCTGTGGGATTGATGCATGATGGCCTTCGTATGCATATAACTTAAAGGGGGAATTTGGAGGTCCGCGACAATGGATGACAAATTTCTCGGATTCAAGTTTAAGAGCAATTAGTTATGGTTCAAATAATGTCTTTTGTTGAATAAGGTTGTCTTTATTACATGTGACTATACTATACTAGTACCGGAAAAAAAATTCTATGTGGCAACGTGCTAAGAGTGTTACCACTCACAAGATACAAATATATATTTTCCAATTTCATATATTTTTTTTGAAACGGCAAGCTATCATACCCCTAATCTTAGGGCGTGTTTGGCAAAAATAGTTGTTAGCTGGAAGTGGGTAGCGGGAAGTTGGTAGCGGTTAGCGAATAGCGTGTAGCTGGTAGCAGGAAACTGTAACTTTTATTTGTTATAGGAGTGTTTGGCAAAAGTAGCTGGAAGCTTTTGAAATATATAAAATTACATAAAAGGACAATTGATTAAAAATAAATAAATATATAATATATTTTTAAGGGTAATTATGGAAATTGATTTCAAAAGCTCAGTAGCGTTTTGTTAAACGCTACATGAAGTAGCTTTTAGATTTGGAGCGTTTTGTTTAAACTAAAAGTTAAACGCTCGTATTACCAAACGAAGCTTTTTGTTTAAACTAAAGCGTTTTGTCAAAAAGCTAAAAGCTTCCAAAAGCTCCGTGACAAACACGCCCTAAATCTAAACACCACCTAGGTCTCCTAGTAAGACTTGAACCCATGACCTCTCATTTGAGGGGAACTTATCTTAAGGGGGGGGGGGGTCAACTTAATTCTTTCCATTCAAATGCCATCGTTTGTCATCATCAAAAAGGGAATACTGTTGGAGCAGGTGCTTATTCCATACTTTCGTACTTATATTATGATAACAAACGCAACCTGAATTCATATTATGATCTAACTACTTTACTTGTGTTTGTAAGTTTTTTATATAAATATTGGTCTAAGTTAATTAAAACAAAATCTCTCAAGCAATCAAAGTCAGTTCGAGCTACATCAGTCAACTTTGTTTTTATCTCGGGAAGCATGCCTTATGCGAGAACCGCAAAGAACTATTAAAGATTTAAGCTTGAACAATATTTTATGAACATTTTCTTTGGAATACGATTTTGAACTTGTTTTTCACCATAAATTGTTTGAAACTATTGTTGGTGATATAGTGTCACAAGTCATTTTAGTATAATAGAATCTACATATTACCAATGAAGTTTGATTTTTGATTTTATCTACAAGTTAGGAGATGCGAAGCGCACGTTTGTATAAAACAAGTTTGATCTCGGTTCGACCAAATGATGGGGGTCAAAGGAGCCTGTTGTGGGGTCCTGGGGCATCCCCTTATTGGATTATATTTCCTGATAATTTCCTAGAAACTGTCATCAATTTATTTATGGGATAAAATCAACATTTGATGTTGACTGAATCTTCTCTTTGGTAATCAGAATAATTTGAATTCTATAAGTCTTTAATCCGTAATTTCATATTTTTTTCATGATTATAAATTGTTCTTTGAATGATTATCCTCATAATCTTGATTTTGTGATATCCAGACATATTTCATATTCGGAAAGTGATCACACGATCCTTCAAACAGATCCACAATATCTCTCGATTTCGAAAATGACTTTTCCTCCAAACGCTAAAAACTATTTTTTTTCATAGTAAATGAGGAACAATATACACTTAGCGGACAAAATGTAACATATATTAAAAAAACTTACAAAATAAACAGACATGTGAAGATTTTCGACTTGTTTTTCATATGCATTTTTATGACCTTAATTATTCTTTATTTGAACAGTGTTTTCAAACTTTTTCTTCACCAGAATTTTTTTGGAATTCAGACAGATGATTATTATCTGATTTTACCGAAAGTGTAATAGTTATGTAATATCTCTTGCAAAACATCGCATTGTAGTGAAATAGTGAATATCTCTGGACATATAATTTAGTTATGTAATACATACACATGAACACCCTGTCACAATCACTTTACTACACAAAAACCCAACAGATATCGCAACTCTTCATACAAGCCAAGTATATTATCGCCTGAAAAATAATAATATTTAATTTATACTTATTTAATGACCAGAACACCCTTCGCATCTGAAAGCCGCTTCAATTCATCCCGAGGACGCAACCGTCATTCCCCCCGAGTGACGTAAATACGATGTCGTTGGCCCATGGGTCAACACTCAACAGACACCAAATTATGTTCGTTGGATATAAATTAGGTTTAAATTAAACCCCCAATAACGGATTCAATTTTTCCCCTTTCTATATATACATTTGCAGGACTCATCTATAATACTTCTATATTGTTTTCCTTATGATACGGTTATTGTTATGTAATGTATGCATGTATACTTTTAATAAAACTATATTTTTAAAAGTATGTCTCTAAATCAGTGTGTTTTTGCCCAGTTGTGTTTATAGTTGTATATCAAAAATAAATGGTTTTGATATACTTAGTTCACTATAAACAATGCTCTGATACCAATCTGTCACACCCCCAAACCTGAACGGCGGAAACATTCGGGGGCGGAGGACGTCATGTACAGTATCATAACAATTGAATAGTAAAGAAAGTACACACCACCATAATATATATTTGAAAAGTTTACATGATTGCTGTATTACATGTTTCAAAAGTCAAATACAATATGATGCTCCAAAAGATGATACTAACGCCAGAGCATTAGTCCCCAAAAGTAGTTGCTAACCTGATGTTTAGTGATTCCCTGAGAATACAAGTTATTTCAAAGAAAAAGTTTCAACAATTAAGTTGGTGAGTTCATAAGTAGTTATTTGAAAAATGCATGCCATTCGAAAGTTCATGTTTATTTTCCAGAAAATCCGATATTTTTTTATAAAATGAGTTATGAATCGTTGTTTGTATGAAAGGAATGTATTGAACCAGGAAAATCCTATATTTTTCTAAAAGTGAGGAGTAGTCTTAAATCTCCAAGACTGTAATTTGTAAGTAAATACGACATACTTATACTGAAAATGTATAGTTTTATTAGTGAACA